TGCTGTCACCACAGGGGAAGTTTTGCCCACTAGTAAAGCAATCTTGGGACAACATGGAATTAGAACAACCACCTCTAAAGGAATCGTCTCAATCAGTGTCTTGTATATAGCTTGCTCTAAGCATTAGTAAATGCACATGCATGGGCTATGTTTCCATCCTGTTACTAAAACGTTATTTTTCTTCCTTCAGGGATTTTTTGTTTCGGTCTTCTACTGCTTCTTAAACAGTGAGGTAGGTGCATCTAAGTTACTTTTAGCACTGTAGTGATCTCTCTCCCGGCTTGTTTCAGGAACACAACTAGGACATCATTGGGACTGCAAAAAGATTTCAGCTAAATACGCCAATGAAATACCTATATGCAAACTTTTGCTCATCTATAAATAGATTAGGAATTCTGTTCAAGCCATCTTGTGATGTATACCCCACTGCCACACTACAGATAGGTGACAGCTGTTTACTGTGTTTGCTTTGCATCTTCCAGTGTCATCTATTGGTTTCAGGCAGCAAAATATCACTACCAATTCATAGCCCAGTTAGCAGGAAATTGCAACGGTTGTTGGAAATGTGACCTAGGGACTAGTTGAGCCAAACCAGAGCAGGCTTTATCATTTTTTTATATCACTTAGATAAAAACACTCAATCAATGTGGTGTACAACCCACCACATTGAGGGCCTTAGAACTTTCAAAACATTAGCTTTTAAATGGACACTAAAAAAAAATATACTATTACAGCAAAATTTAGGAGTCTGATGCTCCTCTTTTTATACTATTGTCTGCGTTATCTCACAGAAGTCAAAACATGGTCTGTGTACATGAGAGAGAACCCTACTGATTAACTACTATATTAGCCCACACACCCTTTTGGTATAGTGAGGCCATTGGTGTGTGAATCACAAGAAATGCTGACCATTCTTTTATAGAAAGATCAATTTGCTTGTTTGTTTTGCATTTATGAGCCACAAGAAAATGTAAAACAGTTATAAGTGTATTACATTTAAAATGTGCATTTTAAGAAGTCAAGCTTTGTGAGTTAGCTTTTAATACCTAATAGTATAGTGCCAAAATTGCAAGTGGAGTCATTTTACGCTATTGATAATGGGAATCACAGAACAGACTGAATATAAGTAACTCTTTTGGTAACTGTATTTATCATCTGTCATGGGTGTGAAACAAGAACTATCCGTGCTGATAAGCATGCAATCAGAATTTTCCTTTTTACACCGCTGCTTCTTGGGTTGGCTATGAGGTCCATCGGGTGTTTGGTGTCTTTGATGTTGTTTATATAGTTAAACAAGCTTAAGAGGGCAGCTTAACTGGATAAAATGCCTCTGCAGGAAAGCTCTGCTAATGCAGCCTGAAGGGAGACAGGGGGGTCTAAACTTCATTGGAAGAATGGATTCAAGAAGATAGGAATGGAAAATTGATATGCAGTCACTCACAACAATGAGGAAGTGGCAGGAACTCCTAAAGGCCCACCTTGGGCTGCAGCAAAAATGAATGATGATGATTGGTTGCTTGGGGCAGCACTGACAGTTCCTCTTTTAGACACTTCAGCAATCTTTTCTGCTCAGGTCATATTAGACTAAATATACATGGATGTTAACATAAGAAATACATGAAAAACACTAACTCATTACAGAGTTCTGTGTTTGTTTAGCATTGGTCCTTGTCACATTGAGTGAAATGTTTTATGTAACACTCAGGCCCAAGCTGCCATTGATCTAAGTTGTTTCCCCGGGTACCCCGCATGCTTATCTCCTCTTTCCAGTGGAACTTCACTGAAGTAACACGAGGGCTGGTTTTGCTTCTGTGGGCATGTGAACATAGCCTTAAAATTATTAAGAGTGCTCAGTGTTGGGGGTTTAATCTTTTTCTGTTACATTTTACATAAAATAGTAATGAGCATAAGCCAGATCTTCTAACTATCTAACATGTAACTCCATTTCCAGGTGCGCTCTGCAGTTAGAAAGCGTTGGCATCGCTGGCAGGACAAGCACTCCATCCGAGCTCGAGTTGCCCGTGCAATGTCCATTCCCACATCACCGACGAGGGTTAGTTTCCACAGCATTAAGCAATCCTCTGCTATCTGACCCATCACTTGCTGAATGCCTGCTCTAGAGCTTTCCAACCCTGTAACAAGTGGTTGCAGAGGCTCAAATTGAGTATGGTCACTAAACTGAACAGAAATCAAGAGACCACATTCCTTGTGTCCAACTAGTTGTATTTTGACAATCAAAAAAGAAGATGGAAAGGAGCAACTGAACTTTCCGCCTTAGTGCAATATTGGAGACTGCTAGATTTGAACTGCTAGGGGGACTATTACAGAGACAGAAAACAACTCAAGCAGAGAAACCAATAGATAGAACACAGCACAATCCATAAACTTGTACTGATATATCACCAGCCACAACCAAACAATTGCTGAGAATGTGCATCTAGGCTACCTAGCCAATCCTCTGTGCCTCAACTTGTAAAACGACCGGCGCCAGGCTTATCCATCGGTGATAAGAAAGTTGCCTAATGCTTTGTGAACCATCCTATATACTAATTTTCTACGCAGACTGAGTATGAGCACAAATGACAGTGCTGATTAAGGTGGCTCTTAAGTTCAGATCACACGTACCCTAGCAGCGAATAAAGTGCCATGTGATTGTATATCAAGGGGACCAAATGAATCAAAGAAATTTATGAAGTGGCCTTCTAGTTGAGTTGGTTAGAGACAACATTGTGGAAGATGTTTTACTTGACTCAGGGGTAAAGAGGACAAGATCTATTAATCAAGTGGCACTGGTCTTACTCGCTTTGTTGCCTGGCTTTGTATAAAGACTGAGCTAGGGATAGCCTGGAGAAAACAATGTGTGTTTAAATCCGTCAAATCAGTATGCTGAGTTATAACAATTCTTTATCAACTGCGAATTTGTACAAAGAGATTCTATGCGTGAATGTTCTAACGTTGGACCTTAATAATACCTGACTGGGTCAGAGAAAAAAAAAAAAGTGCCACTGTGGACCGGATCTGCAACCCAAATAGCTTCGTGCTATGGACATTTTTGCTGCACATATATGCGTTATTGTGTTGCACTAAAATGTAAGAAATGTCTTTATATATTGTCACGCTACACAAATAAATCCTTAAAATGGTGATAAACAATTGTCTACTAATGTGTGCCTTGGCTCAAACACAGCTGCTTCCCCTAAACAAGTGTCATACAGAAGTAAGAGTCCGGTATGGACTATGTTAGGCTTCTAAGATAAGGTCATGATGGTTGTGAAATATTGGTTTGATTTTGTATTGTTCCAGAATGCAACAAGGCACAAATGCCAGGGCTGTATATAAAGTAGAAAAAAACTGAGCTGGATTATACTTTTTATAGCAAAATGTGGAACTGTTGGCCATGAAAGATCGAATGGGATTGTCTTTTGTGTGTTGTATAAAGTCTAGTATCTGACACCCTGAAAAATGTTGCCTATACCCATCTTCTCTCATACATTGGTCAACTTCTCAAAATCAAATACAGGCAGCCCCAGAACATATAACCTTTAATGGTGTAAGTGTACAGTCCTTTTTATCTTGGCTGGTGTTCTTTTTTTATGAGGTTCTGTGATGAGGTTTATATTATTTAGTTATTATAAAAAGGCAATGGAGCTGTAGAGATAATTAGGGCTTACTGAATTATATTGTTCATCGGCTAATGGTTGGCTGAGATATATCCCCCCTTTCCCCCCAGCCTTGCAGTGGAGTTTAATTGACCATTAGTAGCAGTCATGGGGGTTGCTTTATCAACAGGGGAAAGGTGGATGTGTTGGTTGTTAGGCAGAAGTATCTTTGAGGATCAACCTGTCTTGAATAAGCCTCATTACGTTTGAGTGGGTTGAGACACTGAGCATAAGTAAGGCAACACACTCTTGATGGGGGTGTTAGTATTTATGCATAGATTTCATTTAACTGTATACAGTTCCTAATGCAGAGCAAACAGCTTTAGGTGCATGTCAACCTAACTTTTTTTTGTACTGTTGTCTTTGTTTTGTGAAACCCTCTTGTATGTACCCATGGAGCCTTGGATGTTTCTGTCACTAAGTGCAGAAGTAAATTTGTCTTTGGAAATAATCCCCATTCACCCATTGTCCTATTATCTAATGAGAGCACCTCATGAGGCAATAGAGCTCTTTCCTTGGGCAGTGGGATGCCTGGTGGCTGGGCTTAGCTTCAGCAATGGTGTCTATATCTGAAGTCCCACAGGTCTTTTTGTTGGGGAGCATAGTAGAGGATTTTTAGGTTGAAGGGAGTGAAAGCAGGGACCTTGTAGTTCCTATTATGTTATAAGTGTTACTGACTTACCAGCTCATAGATGTTTACTGTTAAATCCTCCCCTAAGTTGGTCAAAGGGTCGTATGCTGTTCGTGACCCTGTCCAGTAAGTCCCTAAGGTGAAACAGTCCTCTGGATCTCCACATCCCTATCCACTCCTTGGATACCCCTGCCCGCAGTTTAGGATTCATCAGAAAGGGAGTCAATGGGGATCGTGCCGTCGCCAAGCATTTGGATATCTTAACTTTATTCCATATTTCTAACGTGAGTCTGGTGGAGGACAGCAAAGTGCCCTTGGATATTTGCTCCGGGTTGGACCATAGCAATGCATTAGGGTGAACTGGTGCTAGCCATAGGCCTTCTATGGTCGCCCAACTCATAGGGGGATACTGTTAAATCCTAAAGACAATATTACAGACACCATAAACAGAAAATGTGTTCCAGACTCTAGCTAGAAGAATATAGAACACAATACATGTCCTTTGACACATACAAGCCTGGTCTTTGACAAATGCGTCCCAGGGGTTCTTCTCAATACAGCATGCTTTTGGGGCCATGTTGTCACTTTGGCATACTTGGGATAGTCTTGATGTGACAAAAAAATATCACTTGATTATATCATTTGTGCTAGAGACAAGGAGCCCGGCTCTCGCAGTACTTAATGGCCAGAAAGCCTTCTTCTTCACCCCTCACGTTGCCATCATCGTATCTAAGCAACCAATGCCACGAGTCACCTTCAGCGGGAAAATGGTGGATCATGTAGGGCCCAATTACTGCCCACCTGGGCTGAAAGCTGGGTTGAAAAACGGATAACTTCCTTTCAGAAGTTGGTATAATCAGACCGTCATCAGCCTAGACTAGAGCAGGGATACAGATTTAATATCATCACAAGCAGGGAGGGAAGTAACTCTAATGCAAAGAAAAACAAAATATCTCAAGGTCAGGAGAGAACACCCCGCAGGGGACTCGTGAGAGAAGGAACGTCATCCCGAACACAATCTGAACTACGAGCAGCATTACGCACTTATCATGCAAAGATACTTTTGAATAATATTTGCTTGCCTCTTCGCTTTAATCATACTCCACTATTACCCTATTTTTCCGAGAGCTGTACCTGCTTTTCCTTTCACAAATTCGGCACACAAATCACTTTATATAGTACGGTGAGAGTTTGTTTAAAGTGTCTCTGTCCACTGGGCCAGTAACAGTCTGGCTTATGCAATAATCTGAATATTTAATTTTTAATAAGCATAACTGTGCAGATTTAAGTATGAAAGATTCATAATTACCTACTGATTTAGCTTGACCGTGTTTAATCCTGGCAGTTAGTGTATATCAATCCAAACCTTTTTTCTTTTCTTTTTGGATAGAGTAGGTAATGGTTACAACTCCTGTCTTCCCTTTCATTTATGTTCTGGACGCACAACAAGAAGTCTCTTCAAAGTAAATGGGGAGCCCCTGTGTAGACAGTTGTCATCAAGTGTTCCCGTTGAATGAGTTGCCCTCTCCTCCTGACAACCATAACATTTGGGTTTCCCTTCACTATCTTTATCTTACTGGATGGAAAGTTGCGGTGATAATGGAGACCAGTAAAAATAGAGATAGTAAACACTCTTAATGAGAAGATTCTGCTAGAGGTTCTAATTATGAGCCTTACATACACTTTCTAGCCCATTACTATATTATTATGATGGATTTATATAGTGCCAACAGTTTGCTTAGTGCTTTACAGTATAAGGAAGACATTACAGCTACAATACAATTCAAGACAAGATGGTTAGAAGGGCCCTGCCTGTGAGAGCTTGCAATCTAAAAGTGAATCTCCAGCATTTTAAATTAATTTTTTTTTTCATTTAAGCACCTAGACCAAAATGATAGTTAGCCCTTGCAGTGTGTTAATTTTTTTTAATTCATGGAGTTCCGCTTTAAACACTCATATCATTTAACACAAGCTTTCTGTAACAATGAAGAAGAGCAAAAAAACAATATTGATCCGCCTAATACAGCTTTCTCTTATCTGATTTCCGATTGGGTGCTGTGGCCGAACAATCGTTGCCCTTTCTGCTACATCATTCTGAGTAAAATTGCCTCGGGACATCATTTCAGAACGTGTTTTTACATGGAAAGAGGAGACACATTACCCTACAATTTACCTTGTTTCCTATCAGCCTCATGGAATTAAAGGGTTAATTACAGCAAGCGAGGCGTGATGGGTAGGTGACCAGTTTGGCTGATTATACAGCAATTAGCTGACTAAATGGCCCTGTCCCTTTCTCCACCATAGTAATGAGGATGTCACAGTATTTTTGATTTAAGGTGTAAACCTTGTTAGCCTGTTAAGGACGGCTTTTCACAGTGTCAATTAAGTCAGTTAAGCGATTACATGGCAAGGTACACGGACCTCAGTTCCCTGCAGCCCGCCAAAGGGGGTCGCGGTACAATTATGTTCAGTATCCCACGTTTTTCTAATAAATGTTTGGATTTACTTTGAATGCATAAATCAATATGTCTTCTTCATTCTCTGCACATCACTATACCCACAATGTAATATTAGATTTCAGCACTCTGCAAAGTCTGCTTTAGGGAGATTTCCTTTAATATGAAATGCTCTTTCTTTCCATTAGAAGGCCATTCCACCAAAAACTAATATATCAAATTTAAGCAGATACAGGCTGGTTCTAGGGATAAACTCAAGTTCTGTCCAATAATGTATGTAAGGGTGCATTCATTATTATACATATTAGAGAACTTAGCGTAGACCATAGAGATGGGTAAGTCTGGTTTATGCTATTGTTCGGCAATAGTCGATTTGGCAGCCGTTATAAGAAAGAGGTATAGATTTTTTTTAGAAGTGGGATTAGCCAAAAGGACATACATTGAGTGATGCCATCCATAGGGTTAACTGTATCCGGCATCCAAAGACAGCTAATAGTAGACTTTCTAGCTCCTTCCAGAAGGAGGAGGGTACCTAACAATCGCACCAGATATGTTTGTATGTTTAGGCCTCTGGGAAGTTCCTATAGCAGTCTGGGAATAGATGGAACGCTTTAATGAAACCTAGTTGGAGTGTAATAACCCCTACTTAAAGTGGAACTAGATCCATCAATGCCATGTCTCCTAGAGCAGGGCGAGTGGAAATGCAGTGCAGGCGAGTGGAAATTCCTGTCAGGCTTGCGGTCTCAGACCGCGTACCTGACTCGTGGGAGCAGCTGCTCCTGCTGGTCTGTCTCCCTTCCTTTCGGCCGGAACTCTTCACTGAGCTCCGGGTCGAATGGAAAACAAAGTGATTAGTAAGGTCTGCAGACCTTACTAATCACACTAGATCATCAGAGATCTGCCTGCTCGCCTCCTCCCTGCAGAAAGTCAAGCAGGTGAGGGGGCTTCCTTGTATTATTTTACATTGTGGGGCAGGGAACAGGGGGGATTATTATGTTATGTGTGGGGGGCAGGGAACAGGGGGGGGGGGGTATTATTTTATATGTGGGGGCAGGGAGCTTTATGGTAATATTGTTAAAGTTGTTAATATTTATTCTTGTAACTTTATTCTGCATAAAACATGTAACAGTCTCATTGAGGAGATTAGTTAAGAGGATGTGTTTAGGGGCGGAGTTAAGGCCGTGGGAGGGTAGGGGTTAGGTGGGCAACTGGTGGCGATTAACTCGTAAGGCCTGGCTA